CACAACATTCTGTTCAGCTGTGATCGAAACACTGGAAAATCTTTAATATAATTGTTACTTCTTCAGCAAACTTCAGTTCACAGAGGTGTTATAAAGTACATGTAAAATACAGTCATTATAGATTAGGTACTAATGAGACTCACCATTTAAAGAAATGAGAATTACACATGCAAATAACAGGGTCATGCTGCAAATGTATAACTTATAATAATTTACATGTAGATTATACATAATATAAAATTAATTACTTTTCACACATTCTGCAGTGTTTTTCATGTTCACAGGGGTTGTGTTTCAAGTTTCCAGAATTTCTGCTTCCCATACAAAATGTTATTGCATTTTCAGTTTTTAATTCTAATGAAAGACAAATTAAGCTGCTGTCTTACTTATTTCTTGTTGTTGAAACATTGTGCTCAACACCCACAAGTTAAAGGAGGAAAGGTTTATTTTGACTCACAGTTTGTAGAAGTTTCATTCTATAATCGACTGGTTCCAAGGCAAGGTGGCATGGCAGAGGGGGATCCAAGAGGAGAAATAGTCCATCACAGAGCAGGGAGAAGGCAGCAAGCAGCCCTTTTCTTGTTATTCCACCAAAGCTACAAGCTTTTTGTGTGGTGTTACAACCAGGGTGGGCCTCCCAATTAGTGGACTAATCCAGTACCCCACAGTCTTAATCCCAGTATCACGCACCCATGATTTAGGCATCTCCAAAAAGTTCTACCTATGAGTGCATGAGGCTTTGGGGGGACATCTAGATACAAGCCATAACACCTGGACAGAAGAGACCAGATCAAAGAATTTTTCATTTCTTTTCATCCTTTATAATACTCTTAGTAACTCCACGTCCAGACTATTCAATTTTGCTGACCAACCACTACTCAACCTAGCAATATTAGAGGTTTCAACTCATAGTTTCAAAGGATTCAGGGTATGCTCAGTTGGCTCTGTTGGTTTTTGGGCCTATGGGGAGGTAGAACCCCATAATCGGGAGCACATGGCTACTTTATTGTGGCCAGGGGCCAGGGTCACAATATCCCCTTCAAGGACATGTGCACAAAGTCTTTACTTCCATCCATTAGGCTACACTTCCTCAAGTTTTAACAACTGCCAATAATGCCATGGGATGGGACCAAGACTTCCATATATGATCCTTTGAAAGATATTTCATATTTAAACTACAGCATTTGTAGCATTTGCTGATTCATGCTAGATCGTTTTCTTAACATAAAATTTTAAAGTTGTTTATCTATTTTAAAATAATAAATAGAAATTTTAAATATATTTAAACTGAAGCATAACAAAAAATGAATATTAAGAAATAGTTTGTAGTCAATTGTGAAAATGCTTCTATTATTTGTAAATACATTAATACACAATTCTGTTAAAATTGACCCTTGCAAGCATAAGTGTTAAGAAAGTAATAGGAGTATTATCTTCAAAGCTGTGTAAAGCAATAGTATTAATTACTTTTATAGCATTAATTGCTTTTATAGCATTTCTTCTTCAGTGAACTTATCTTTAAAAGTCTTAAAAATAATAGCCTACTGTGTGAAGAAGAGGTTCATCATGCTGAATTTCACATATCTCTATCTCTGTCTACTTACCTACCTATCTATCTATATCCTTCTCTCAAGCTGTAGTTGTTTATTTGACAAATACAAAAAGAAACTTCAAAATAATTAAACATCTCCAATAATAAATATGATTGAGTGAAGTAGTCATATATGAAGTGTAGATCAAATGCTAGAGTAAAAAATATTTGAAACAATTGAGCAATATGGAAAATATTTTGAAAAATTGTTAATAAATATTAAGTTAAATCAAAGTATGCAAAACTATAAATATACCAAAGCTGTTGTGGAAAGGTTGCAAAGAAGACACTAAAATTTTAAAATTGGTTAAGATTGAGAAAATATGTTTTTTTCTTTGTTTTTGAATATTTACCAAATGAAATTTAAATTTTCATATTACTTCCATAATAAATATGCCAGATCATAAAATAACAAGTGACAGAATGGAAAGGAGCTCAAGGAGAGCTATGAAAGTCTAATTATTCCCTTCGCTCTTTCATGTTTTCTGAATCTGCAGATTGGGCCACTAGGGAGATTTGTCTCAAAAGAAACCAGGTCCATTGGTGCTTTTCAGTTTGAAAACATTAAAAATTCAGAATTCGGGATCAAATTAATAGCAGGGCTGAGTGTAGGATCCGTGTCTTGGATTCAAGTAGACAAGGTACAAAATCTTGGGTCTATGCTGTGGCATCTTATACAAAACACATTTCTGGCTTTAGGAACACATTCTTCTTGCCTAAAAACGTCACGAAAAAAATCTTTCTACCTACATTAGATTTAATTTCCATGAGCTGGTTTGTGTGTAAGGTCTTTCTGCTTCTGAAAGTTCTCATTCTGATAACGTTGCTTTTTCCTTTGCTTTACGTTTCCTTTCCTTTGCTCCTCTCTGTTCTCACATTCTCAGTTCTAGTCAGTTCACCTGCTCAGTCAAGGTCAGCAAGAGAACCACAGAAATGATTATTCTTACATGTGGATGAGAGCAGCATCTATTAGTTAGCCAGCACGGAGAGAAGGGCAGGAGTGCTGGGGGATAAGTGTGTGTGTGTGTTTGTGTATGTAGAATGATTTGTGGGGGAAAGTAGGTGACATGAAAGGAGATAGATTCTTTCTTCAGGATTCGTACCTTGCAGTTAGTGTATAGATTAAAGATTATCTTTACATAATATCTATTCCTTCACAGGAAAACTTTCTTTAACAGGTGTATACATTTCCATTCTCTCACCAAAGAGTAAGGGAAATTAGCAAATATCAGGGGATGTGCTAATAGTCAACTCAAAAAGTTTATAAAAAACTAGTAATACGTACTTTAGAGTTTATAATAAGATATTTAGTTTACCTTCCTTAAATTAGAAAGCTTCTCCTTTTGGTTTCCCTGAAAATAGATCCTGTAGGTTTGTTTTAAATTTTCTATGGTAGAAATTCACTGCTTTCCCAAATGACCGTCTTTATGATGAGGTGCAACCTGGTCCTAGACTTTTTTCCATTATCTGATGGCAAATCCTTTCTGGGAAATTGGTGTTCAGTGAAGTAGAGAATTGAGTACTAAATTATAAGGGGGTTGGTGAGAAGATAACTGAACATGCATCTAAGTTAATTTGTGCTATGTATACATTTCCTAGGGCAAGCATGTGCCAAACATCTTTGTCATTTAGCAGTGTGAATTTGTTGACTGATAGAAACAGAAATTCTCAGATAGAAGGGGGAGTTGATGCATGTATAGCTTACCAAATCATCTCTTAATTCTGTCAGAATATTTATTTAATGAACTATGTAGAGTCTCAATAACATTTTCCTGACCCGTGTGTCTTCCTATGCCTTTTAAATCATATGGATTCTATAAATATGTATAATTTTTATGTCTTAAAATAAATTTTGAAATCCTACATTTTCTTTAAAGTCCATTTCAAATATATTTTCATCACATTTGAAACTTTTTTGTAACTACATTAGAGCTCTTAAGTAAATATTACATATTTGAGTTTTAATTGCTAAACTAACTTTGTTACATATTTAGTACTAAGTGCCAAGCACTGAGATTAGTATTTAATCTTCATAATGCATCATAACCCTCGCAAAGACCCTGTAGACAAACAGTATCCATTTTTTGAAGGAGGTGAAACTCAGAGAGGTTTTTGCTCATGATGCCAGAGCCAGGTAGCCCAAGGTAGACTCAGGTCAGGTTTCAAAAGCAGTTTTAAATACCTCCAGAGTAAGTTCTTCAAGGGATGGAACTGTATTTTATTTATCTTGATTTCTCTACCAGGCAGAGAGAAAATGTGTGTGAAATTATATCGATTTCCATGGTCTATAAATCAATAGATCTTGGACAAGACAGGGGTCCTTTGACTTCCTGTTTATATCTCTGCTAGGCTAGGATGGCCATCCATTTAGACACCTGGAGGAGCACTAGGCTTGCATGGGGCCTGACTCTGGGACTGAAGACCGTGATATTAGGAAGAGCCCCTGCTTCCTTCACCTCAGTTCTTAACTCTTATTCCACTTGCTGAGATTTTTATCCATGGGATGATCCTTTACCTTTGCAAAAATTGAAATCATATGGGAAATATCAGAGAACCCACCTATAAAGTAGTATTAGATTTATCCATTTTTTCCATTGAACATATATTGATCATAGCAGAAGAAAATTAGTTATAACTCTTGGCTTCATAGGGCTAAGATAAAATAAAATGAAAAGGAGAAATCAGGGTTTCAGAAAATATAATTCTGCTTTTGCTCAGGATCATCTGGTACTGATGTTAATTAATAGAATTCATGGGATTCACAATATAGAGAATAAATTCTACCCGAGAGAGAAGTGCTAGCGGGACGTTGTAGTTCTTTCTAGCATCAGTGCAATGACTTCTACTCTCCACAAGCCTTTTGTATCTGTGTGTGAAAGCAAAGTGAAATATGAATTGTTATCTTTTTTGGAATAAAAATGATGAAGAATGGAAAGAATATTGTTGAAAGTAACAGTAAACAGGATGGATTACATTTTGTCTTTATTTCAATTTTCATATGCATGTATATGGGTCATTGACATATTTATAAACTATGACTGAGTTGATATTATGAGGTTAACACATGATAAACATTTCATGAAACAAATAAATGGCTCTCAAATAAGTTTAATGATAAACTAGATATTTAAATAGTATAAATAAAATAAGTAAGAACAGGGGATAATTGAAAGATGTTTGTTAATCACAAATTATTCTGTTTCCTCATTTAGCATTTTTAAAATGTGGGGCAAATGTCATACGTTTCTTAATTTAACCTTAATGGCAGATTCATTAAAGACCTCTATCTCTCTTTCTCCTTTTGCGTGGAGCCACTGACTTAAATAAAAGTCACTTTGTCAGGAAGATATTCTCACTTCTTTTGGTCTTACATCATAATATTACCCTGCTTTTCAGATCCACCTGACACATGAAGACTGGGAACTCCACCCCCGTGACAGAGTTTGTCCTGTTGGGAATTTCTAATACAGAAGGGCTGGAGACCATGCTGTTGATTCTATTCCTGACCTTCTACATTTTCACTTTGCTGGGCAATCTTATCATCTTCCTCACCATTCTGGTTTCCTCCAACCTCCATACCCCCATGTATTTCTTCCTGGGAAACCTGTCCGTGTTTGACATATTTTTCCCTTCTGTGAATTCCCCCAAGATGATGGTCTTCCTAGTGGGGCAAAGCCACACCATCTCTTACCAGGGTTGTGTTTCTCAGGTCTTCTTCTACCACTTCCTGGGCTGCACGGAGTGTTTCCTCTATACTGTGATGGCCTATGACCGTTTTGTGGCCATTTGTCACCCCATGAGATACATGGTCATCATGAACCACAGGGTGTGTACTGGCCTGACAGTGGGCACTTGGCTGGGAGGCTGTGTCCATGGATGTATCCTCATATTCTTCATCTTCAGGTTATCCTATTGTGGCCCCAATGAGCTGGACAGCTTTTTCTGTGATATCCCTGTGGTGCTGCCCCTGGCTTGTGCAGACACTTCTCTAGCACAGATGGTGAGTTTCACCAATGTAGGTGTTGTTTCACTTACATGTTTTCTTCTTGTTCTCACTTCTTACACTCGCATTGTTCTCTCCATACTGAAAATCCGCTCCTCGGAAGGCAGGCGCAGAGCCTTCTCCACCTGCAGTGCCCACCTAACTTCAATTCTCTTCTTCTATGGGCCTGTGATTCTCGTTTACCTTAGGCCTGCTTCCAGCCCTTGGCTAGATGCTGTAGTTCAGGTGTTAAATAATGTCATCACTCCTTGCCTGAATCCTTTGATTTATTCCTTGAGAAACAAAGATGTGAAATTAGCCCTGACAAAGGTGTTAGTTCAAATTGCCCACCCTTCTGGGGTATAAGGATTAGGAACAATCTCTCTCAAATTACTTGGAGAGGTGCTTCAGGTCCAGTGCTACAAGAGTATGCTTGTCCAATGCTAAGCTAGGTAATGTTAATATCTCTCATTTTTGAGGAATTATAATATTTTTGACATAGGAGATTTTGGGATGGCCACAGATTTATACCTTCAAAGAAGGTGTTTCATATTAACCCAAATTTACTCATTTTTGTAATTTGCTAAAACAACATATCTCTTCCACTCCATTCAGTGTATGCTTATTGCAACTGTTTAGACTATCTTAAAGCTATAATATTTTGAAGGCCATGGACTATCTTTTTTGTCCTTCTCTACTTTCTTCCTTTGCATATTTATACCTTTCTCTGTTTACTACGGATCACTTTGGTCATTCAACAAATATTGCTTTTAGTGTTTGATAATGTATGAAATTTGAAAGTAGGAGTGCAGTATGTGAAATACATTTTTAAGCTGTCGAATGAAGCCTAGAAGAATTCATATTGACCACAGTTGATTTGAGGAGCCATGAAGATGTGCACCAGTGTCTTTCAAGATGCTGCCTGTTTTTATGGCTGAAAGTGCAAGGAAGGGGTTATTTACATTATTTCTTTATTAAAAATTGTGAATTATGTGGCACAGTTTAAATTGCCTTATAATAAATGGATTGGTCAGTCCAGAGAAGTAAATGAGATTGCTACCAGTCCTGGTAAGGTTGCTCAGAGCTCAAAAGCCAATACTTAAGAGACAAGCATTGGTGGGAAGAAAATGTTTTATTCAAGTGGTGACTGCTGAGGAGATTCACACCATCCCCAAAAGAAGACCATCTTCTGGCTCTCTTGTACTTGGAAAGGGCTTTTATGGGGAGAAAAAAGGTGTGGGCAGGAGGGCTATATGCTGTGCAGGTCTTTGTCATCCAGGGCCTATTTCCTTTTCTTCTTCTGTCAGAATTTTCTTAAGATGACAAACAACTTTCACATCGCGCCAGTCCCTAAATATTTTAGATAAACACATTATTAACACATTGTTTCACTGCAAGTTAAACATTATTTGTAAATTGTTTGTCCATACTTTGATGGTGTCTGAAGATAATGTTCCAGGCTCTGAAAAACTAATGAAAGTTTACTGATGAGAGATCTTGGGAGCAGGCTTATTTAGTTAATTTTCGTTCAAAAGTTAACTCCAGCTGGTAGTTTCTAGGGCAATGCAAAGTAGATTTTTAAAAATTTACAACATGAAGCAAAGTTTAAATAAATGAATAATGTTTCAAGGGGGAATTTGCAGGGTAGAGCTTATGTAAAATAAGGTACCATAAGACATAATTTCCTGGCCATAATTGCAGTTATAAGATGGTTTTACACACTGTACAATGGTTAGTGATTTCAATGCAGAAGTTGCTATTTGCTCCAGCACATTAGGTCAGCATGAACTTGGCAAGGCTTGGACAATAGCTCAGTCAGGAGTCCAGCTGTGAGTGTGAGTGTGCCTGGGATCTGGTTTAACAAGGCGTCCCTAAGCAAATGCCCTTCTACTCTGTTTATCTCTCCTGGCAATATTCAGTTTGTAATTTCTTTGACATTAAATTTATTATCCTCTTACGAAATAATTCTTTTTTGGATTTTATTTCCTTTGGCTATTCTAAAAGTCTGGTGTTGGCCTTCATTCATTATTGTCAAGGGGGAAGATGACCATTAATCTTTTCATAGAAAATAAGAGAATAGATTTTACAAATTTTCAGAGGAAAAACTTCTATGAAAAATTTCTCAATCTTTTCTAGCTATTGTACATGTCTTCAAGATGTAATATATCTGTACTTAGTTGAAATAAGACAAGAGTATTTTTTATGTTTTTAATATTTCAACCATTAATCAAATCCATTACATAAGTTCAATTATTTAGACTCATCCACTTAAATACCTACTATAAGAAATAACATTTAAAATCTATTACACATATGATATTGATCAATACTTTATCTGTATTGATTAATTCACAGAATCCTACAAGACAGATCCTATGATATATTCTTTTTCATTAACAAAGAACCTAAGAAGAGGGAAATATTCATACCCAAGATATATGAACCTGTACCTGACCCCTTAGCTTTACCTCTGGCATCCTAGTAATAAGAACTATAATACCATAAATTCTGTATAATGGTAGCTGTCTCTATATCTTCCTTTATATGCATCGTTATAACTAATTTTCATACATTAACTGAGTCTAAATTGCATCTCTGTTAGCAAGATGTGATTACTGTCCTTAATTATATATGAGAGAGCTGAGGCACAGGGAGGTTGAGTAACTGCATATAGACAATAGTGATGACATTGGGTATAAGTAGGACAGTAGCTTAGGTAACAGTCACAGAAATAGGCAAGGATTGGAAAATAATTATGTTGCTCCTTTCTCCATGGCAATTCCATGTATTCATTCAGTCACTGACTACAGGACTCACTTAAAACACTATATTTAACTGGCTTCCAATGTGTAAAAGTACTTGATAAATGAACCATGCAAAGACAAAAAAGTGAAAAGTCACTCTGACCCCCAGGGAGGCAGTCACCTGATGCAGGGTCTGCTGGCAAGGTGGCTCAGGGCAGCTCTGTTAGCAGGAGGCCTCAGTTCCTCACTCACTGCAGAGGCCACCTGTTTAGCCACCTGTGTGTTCTCACATCACAGTAGCTGCTGAGCTCACGGTAAGCGATTCACTAGAGGGTTTAAGCAAGATTCTGCCAAACCGTCCATTACAAAGTCTGCAGAATTTTATACCAACACTCCTCCTTTTTTTCTCTTGCAATTAGATGAAGTCACTAAATCTGGTGCATATTCAATAGGAGAACACTATGGTCTACCTTTTGAAGGCAGTATAATACAATTTATCAAGATGTTTCCAACTGTCACAGATACAGTTCGATTTTATTTGAAATTACTTTGATTGGAACACTTCTTTTTGTTTTGGATTGTTTTACATGCTAAAGACATAACCACAATCACTTATGCTTTTACATGATTTTCTTTGGGATTTTTCTATATTCCTCTCTGCCTTTGTGAGAAACATATATTTTAGATGTTTATTTGTCCCATACTCTTTTCCTAATACCTTCTCTGAACTTTGCACTCCATGACAATCCTTTTCTTCTATCAACTTCTATTAGTTGCTTAATTTAATAGTATCATTACTAAAAATATGAATTATGATGCGTCCCATATCATCATTTTGAAATTTTATGTAATTCATAATTTATTATTCAACATTTTAAATACTGATAGTCTCAGAATGCAATTGAATCAGAAAACCAGCCATTAGGATATCATCAAATATTTATTGGCAGTTTATTATGTATAAGGCCCAGTGCGAGCCAAGCAAGGTATGGTAATGAACCAGATAGACATGAGATTTGAAGGAGTAAGACATTTTGCAGAACAGAGACATTGACAAGATAGTCCACATATAACAGAAATAAAGGCTTGTGACTTAATAGAACAGGGAGGTGTAAAAAATACATTTGAATTAAAATGACAAAGAAAATGAATGACACATCCTAGAAACTGAGCAAATGAGGGGACCCAGTGTGGTTGTATGAAAATTAGAAGACTCACAAACTACTTTTTGAGGCTAGAAGGACAGAAAGATAAATAAAATATATGATGCAGAATGTTTCTAAAGAGAAGTCTCATGGCTATAATTGAGGATAAATTTTAAATGCAGATGTGCTGACATTTAAATGCAAGCTCTGTGATTTTTGGAATACACTTTAGACTATGGTTAACCTTATTTTTATTTGTTAAAAGCAAGAAATATATATCAATGCTATAGAGATGAAATTAAAAGGCCTTACATAGCCTGGTTGAAGAGCCTTGAATAGTCAGACTCTTCGTAAGTAGTGATTACTAATTCAAAACAATGGTGAAGAGAGATTTTCTACATTCTGTATCACCTGACAGAGATCAAAGGGTGTAAAGGCACTAAGAAAAGCAATAATTATAAGAATGATGTTAATGTTACTTAAACTTCATAAAATAGTTTTGTACCTTCTTTATTATTTCAAAGGAATTTTAGCTATATTATTTTTAATAAGCCTAAGTGCTTATTTCCTCCACACCCATTAAAAATAGTGCACTCACAGACCTACCCAGTCTACTCTTGTGTGCACTTATGTATTCTGTACACGTGAGATTGAATTCTCTAAACATACATTAAATCCATGAAAATACTTTGACAGAAACGTGAATAGCAGTTTAAGGGAAAATAAGAGTTTTCAGATAATGAATGAGACATGAATTCAGGCAATTATGGAAGCATCATTGGGGGATTTTAAATTGAATTTTAGAAAATGGTGCCACATTTGTTGTGCCTCCCACTGTTTTGTTCACACCAAGTGGGGAGCTTGCCTCTTTTCTTTGAGTGGTTGCTTTCCTAATCTTCTGCTCTTTCTTTAAACATAGATCCTCTAAGCACAGCATCACTGGGAAATCTCAAATATCTGAAACGAAGGGATGGATCTCTGTAGCAGGAAAAGAATGCTCAAGGGCTATAATCAAAGAGTTTTAAAAACTGAACACACCTAAGTGCTGCCATATAGCCGCAATTTAGTCTACGAAATAATGAGAAAAGGCAGTGAGGAGAAAGAGGAAAGCAAGGAAGAGAAGGTGCTCTCCACTGTAATTGCTCCCACTGTGGCAGACCTTCAAGTGCCCATCAAGGATGAGAGTCTCAGAGGAAGCAGGAGGCTTTCATCTTCTCCCAAAGGGAAGCCTGCCGCTCCTTCACTCGGGTCTGGAGGTGCTGCTGGGTGTAGGTTATCACAGCGGAGTGTCCAGGTCCGAGAATGAGAAACTAGCTTTTCTGACCTCATAGCCTGCTGCTCTGTTCCACACTCCCTAAGGGCAAAGAAAGCAGGATTGGGGTGGTTCTGAGGCCTGGGTTTTCCCCCAAGACAACTGTACTTCCTTCCAGTGCATAGGGCATGCCTTTTCTATGGACCACTTCCTACCCTTAGTGTC